CTGTCCAGATGGGACTTGAAAATTATCAGCTTGGTCCATTCTCCTTAGTGATTTCAAGGCAAGACACATTAAAGTTAGAGTCATTTTGAATAAACTATTAATTGGATACACTGTTCTCTGGGGAAACCCAGGTAAATCCCAGTGCAGAGGCTCAGGTGGTAATTGCTCTGTTGTGAACAGTGTCTGCAAGCTCCTGAATGTTCTGTATCCGTTCCCCTGAGCAATTATTTGCGACACCAAGGAGGTAACTGACTTAGTCCCTATTTAGCCATTCAATAAACATTTACCAATGACCTGCCATGTTCAACACTCCATATTAAACACAGGAAGGATGCAAAGATTTACAAGACAGTCCCCAGCAGGTGAGGAGCTTGCTGTCTTACAAGAGGGATTAGGAATTCACAAAATAACCACAGTGCAAGGTCACACAGTTTAGGTGCCAACTGTTCTGTGATTATTGTGATCTCTGATCACAGGTCCTGGGCTTGTTCTAAGGCCTTATTTCTATGCCATTATCTCCACAAATCATTGAAAGATTCCAGTAGCCAAGAGTCCAAATGACATTTCTCAGACAACCTGTTCTATCTGGAAGCAAGACAAAATCCTCTGTCAAACCATGAGTTCTGATTTTTAGCTAAAAATGATGGTGACTGACCACATGAGTGGTTCACACCATAAGGCTGCAGTCCCCAATCCCAGGGCTGAGAAAGGTACTGGTCCATGGCCTACTAGGAATTGGGCCACACAGCAGGAGGTGAGAGAGTGAAGCTTCATCTGCATTTATAGCTGCTCCCCATCACTCACACACAGCAAAAGCTCCACCTCTTGTCAGATCAGCGGTGGCATTAGATTCTCACAGGAGATGGAACCCTACTGTAAATTGCACATGCGAGGGATCTAGGTTGCACGCTCCTTATGAGAATCTAATGCCTGATGATCTGAGGCGGGGCTGAGGAGCTGATGCTAGCGCTGGGGAGCGGGTGCAAATACAGATTATCATTAGCAAAGAGGGTTGACGACACAATTAAATGTAATGCATTTGAATCATCTCCAAACCATCCCCCCACCCTATTGGTGGAAAAATTGTATTGCATGAAACCAGTTCCTGGTGCCAAAAAGGTTGAGAACTGCTGCCATATGGTGACTGACCATTTGTAATTCTACCAAGGCAATTAACAAGGAGCATGAGCTGTTTCAGCAAGGTTTTCTGTATGGACTATGACTCGGCACCCTTGCACCACTTGCCTTTTCATTTATTAACTTACTATGCATCTGCTCGATGAACAATACTAAATAAAACACAGTCCTGCTGGGCACAGTGGCTCACACCTGTAATCCCAGCACTTTGGGAAGCCAAGCATGGAGGATCGCTTGAGGTCAGGAGTTCAAGACCAGCCTGAGCAACACAGTAAGACCCCATCTACAAAAAAAAAATAAGAAAAATGAGCCTGGCATAGTGGCACGTGCCTGTAGTCCTCGCTACTCAGGAGGTTGAGATGAAAGGATCATCCCAGCCCGTGAGTTGGAGGCTGCAGTGAGCTATGATCATGCCACTGTACTCCCAGCCAACGTGACAGAGCAAGATCCTGTCTCTAAAAACTAAAATGAAATAATAAAATAAAATAAAAATTGCATTAATTCATTCACGAAGGCAGAGCCCTCATGACCTAATCGCCTCTTAAAGGTCCCACCTCTCAACCCTGTTGCATTGGGGATTAAGTTTCCAACAGATGAACTTGGGGGGACACATTCGAATCCTAGCAGTATGCCTCTCAGTCTTGCACCCTTGCTGCTCTTCCTACTGTCTTTGCATCACTCTTCACCATCACCATGTAAACACACTACCCTAAAATTGTTGAAAACATGCCACTTTAGGAGAATGTGCTCACAGGATGCAAACTGTCTCTTTACCCGCCCTTCGTCCCTCACCCCTGTCAGCTGCTTTCTGTGTATTATTTGTTGAGAATGCGAGCTCGCATTTCCCCCACTCCTCAGCCTCTCCTAGGAGTCCACGTGTCCCCAAAGCATCCGCACATCACTCCCTCCCGCCAGTCCCTCCCTCCTTCTCAGCGTTCACCTTCTTGCCTGCTTTGGATCCACGCTCTCCTTGCCCTGCTTGCGGTCATCCCTGCCTGTTTCCCTTTAGCTCCAAACGTCTTTCCAATCTTGCGGAGGGAGTGGGGACCTGCCTTGACCCTCTAAGTCCCTTCATCTCTCCTCCTGGCATTCTTCCCCTCAGTGCCACCCTTCTTGGAAGAATTGTATGCATTTGCAACATTCACTTCCTCCCCGCCCCCATTCACTGTTCTTTAGTATTTTATCCACTCATTTCTTAAATAGTTAATACGTGTTCACAATACAGAATTCACAGCAGTCCAGAAGGTAAACAGTGAAGCGTCTTCCTGGCACCAGGCTCCCCAAGCCCCACGCCCTCAGAGGCAGCCCCTGCTACCAGTATCTTGTTCATCTTCCCAGAAGGTGCACGCATGCGCATATTCTTGTTTGTACTTCTTCAAACAAATGGACGCATTTATACACATTTTCTACCCTTTGCTTTTTCCCCTTAAAATATCTTAGAGTGTTCTACATCAGTATATCTAAAACTACCTCGTTCTTTTAAAAGGCTGCCAAAATCCCACTGCGAGGCTGGACCATAAATTCTCTACTCTGGACGTCGAGGATGTGACTAGTCCTTTGTTCTAACAACCGTGCCTCAGTGAGTGTTCTTGCACATAGAGGATTTTTCCACCCTTGTGAGTGCATCTGTAGGATAAATCCATAGAGATGAAATTGCATTTTGCATTTTGGAATTAAATTGCTCTCCACAGAAGTTGCACCAATTCACTCACCCACAGCAGTGTATGGAAGAGCCTCATTTCCCTTCACGCTCTCCAACAGATTGTTTTAACAAAGGGTTTTATTTTTTTCCGGTCCAATAGGTGAAACAGTATACTTTTAATTTGCATTTCCTTTTATGAATCCAGCCAAGCATTCTTCTTTTACGCTTAAGGGCCATTAGTATTTGCTCTTCTGTGAATTGTCTGTTTTCTAGCCTTTGCCCATTTTTCTTTTCTTTGTTTTCTTTTTGGTTGTTTAAAATAATTTGATATCATCATTTAATATATGGCTTTGATATCTGAGAGAAGAAATATTAAATTTATTACGTTTTAAAAATTATTATCTTTTATATGTTTCCTTATCTGCCAAAGTAAAGAGCAGGATTTAGAAGTGCTGGATCCTCCATCACTTAAGGAAAAAATATTGTTCCAAAAAGTCATTTATGGAAGATGTTTCATATGAAATATGCATATAAAGATGCCTGAAAATGACATGCATTAATAGTATAGCAAATAGTTATAAGTTGAACACCTGTGAAATTGCTTCCTTCCTTCCAAATTCAGGTCTAGAAATTCTAAAACAGTTCTGTCCTTTGCTCATTTTTCTGTCATATTTTTGGTCTTTTAGTTTTCCTAGGGAAATTCTATATAAGAAAACCAGTTCCTTGTCTGGGATATCAGTGGCAAATATTTTTAGTCATTCTTTAACCCTTTGCAATGTCTCCTGTGCCCAATAAAGCAAATGGAACTGCTGTCTCATTGGTCCCCATGTCCTCCTGATTGCGAAATCTGAAGGCCCTTCTCTGTTCTCATTTATTTCAGCATGTGACACAGCTGACCCGTCCTGCTTGAACTCTCCTTTTTAAATTCCATGTGCTACTTTATCTTGGATCATCTCCCACTTCTCTGACTCTTACTTCTCTTATTCCTTTGCCAGAAATACCTGTGACAAATGCCCTTGAGAAAAGAGGTCTTTGAACTCTGCCTCACAGTGTCCCAGACAGCTCTTGCTGGAGGTTTCCCAAGCACCTTAAGTCTAGTGGGATGTGCAGACAAGTATGGCCATATCTGAGTCCAAGGCAGGTTCTGGATGTCTCCACTGGCTCCTTTTTTTTTTTTAAAGTCCCACATCCAGCTCAACATGTCTGAAAACTGCTCCTTCCACCTTCCTCACCTCCGTTGGGCTCCTACCACTCTCCCAATCCTCCTAGGCCTGAAACCCAGTCTCTCCCACGCAGCTCAGGAGTTGCCAAGTGCTATTGGTTCTCCAATGGAAGTCTCTCCCCCACTGCTCCCCCCCTTCCCAGCCCCAGGTCATCATGCTTGTCACCTGTCCTTGCTCTCATCAGTATCCCCTCATAACCCTGTCTTCCATGATTCTTCAATACTTTCTCCAGCTGCAGTCCTGCCTAGCAACCTTCCTCTGCCCAGGCACCAGCGCCCCTCACTCCTCAGCAGGGGGCTCCACACCAAGCTAGAACCCAATACAAATCAAGGAAGCCTGGGTCCCAGTGAGGTACCCTGACATCCTAGCACTGGCAGGTGGCATTTCCAAAAGAGAGAGAGAGAAAAAAAAAAAATATATATATATATATATATATATGGGGGGGGGTTAGTTATTCCTTTGGGCACATCACTGTTTGGGTGTGTGTGTGCGCTTTATCATTGTTTTTGTTTGCTTGTTTCACTTATTCAACCAACCAGAGTGAACTTTTATTCTGTTCTCCCAACGCCTCCCCTCCAGCCCTTCTCATGTTAGCCTTCACTTTTGCTGCACCTGTACCCACTCCCTAGGGAAACTAGCAGCAAGGGGCCATCCACCAATGTCAGCCCAGCCTAAAGGTGGTCTAACGGTGGCACTCATAGGCCAGAGTCCCCTACCCACCTGTGCCTCCCTGCTCTCTTCTCAGTGCCATTCCATCAGCACCACCCCAGTCCCCAACACATACAAAGGCCCCGCAAGAAATGGCCTCCATCCAGGTGTCTCTGCGGAGCCCTCTGACATTCCAGGAGATCCTCTGATGGGTGGCTAACTGCCCTGGAAATTCAGCGTATCTTAGGGGCCTAGAACAACATCCTGACCCGAGGATGCCGCCACCCTTACACAGTCAGATTGACTGCGACGTTGTCTGGGAGCCAGCAGACAGGAGAGAGTGGGGAAAGGGGGCATCCGGGAATGCTGGCCCAGCTCAGACTGCTGCCCCGGGCGGGAGGGGGAAGGGAGGAGAGAAGTGAGGCGCTGGAAGGGGTGGGGACGGCGGGGCTGGCCCAGGCGGGACCGTGCACCGGGAGTGCGCGCTACGTCGGGGCAGCGGGACAGAGCCCAGGGCGCGCGGGGACTCTGCGACTGCCTCGCTCCTCCCGCTGCAGCCATGACGGAGAACTCCGACAAAGTTCCCATCGCCCTGGTGGGGCCTGAAGACGTTGAGTTTTGCAGTCCCCCGGTGAGTACCGCCGGGATTCCAGTCCCGCTGGCGGCGTAGTCCCCACGCGGGGCCCGGGCTGTGCGTGAGTGTCTGGTTCCACTGTGCCGGGTCAAGGATTTGTGCCACCGAATGTGTGTGGGGGGGGAGGGTGTCAAATTTGGGTCCCAACTGTGTGGGTGGGGCGGTGCCCCGCGCGTGCGGACGTGCAAAGAGCACGGGATCCACAGACGGGTGCGGAGGGGGCACCCCGGGGTGGGGGAGAGTGCGGGTGCCCGGGGCGATGGCCCTGCACGGAGAAAAGTTTGCGCGTGGCACGTGCACGCCTGAGTACAAAGGACGCTCGGGAGGAAGCGCGGCGAAAGGGGCACCCAAAGGAGCCCAGGGAGAGCTGTTTCCCTCCCCGCCGCACCCCCGATTCCCTGGGGGCGCTGCGCGGGGACCCCAGTGGGCACCGGGACCCCGGGGTGCGGGCGGCGCAGACGTGACGGGTCCCTCTGCCGCCCCGGCCCGCAGGCGTACGCCACCGTGACGGTGAAGCCCTCCAGCCCCGCGCGGCTGCTCAAGGTCGGGGCCGTGGTCCTCATCTCGGGGGCGGTGCTGCTGCTCTTCGGGGCCATCGGGGCCTTCTACTTCTGGAAGGGGAGCGACAATCACGTAAGTCTGGGGGGCTGCAGGGCGGGGAGGTGCTGCGGCCCGGGGGGTGCGTGGGGTGGCGGGGTCGCGTCTCCCCCAGCCTGCCCCTAGGGGGCGCCGTAGCGCTGGGCGGCGAGAGCGCTGCTCTGGGCCGTGACACCCGGCTCGCTCCCAGCCCCCCTGGGACACCTTCTCCCTCCGTCCGTGCAACCCCGCTGTGCTGCCTTCTGCTCGTAGACGACTTTGCAGAAAAGCTAGTCAGGGTTTTAAGGGAGAATAGCACAACACAGAGTGGCGGAGGAAAGCCGTCCTCAGCCCTTCTGGGCCTCCGTCTGCTCATCCTTAGAGGAAGAAATGGCCCAGGTGACCGCCAAGGCCTCTCCCAGCTGAGAAAGGCTGTGAATTTAAGATCTAGGACAAAGACAGTGAATATTCAGACTCAAAATTGAGGATGAATTTTCACCTTTCAGGAGTTGTTTTTTTTTTTTTTGGCGACGTATCCATTAACTCTTCCTTTAAAAAAAAAAAAAAAGGTCTAACTTCCTTAAGGGTGGCAAATCTCTTGAACAATTAATCCTGGCCTAGTCTTCACATGTAATTTAATGGCAAACGTTTCACTAACTGCTGTCCCACTTTCTTTGTATGCAACTATTTATTTGAAAGCTCCATGGGCTCTCAAGGAGTATAAAAACTCCCTCTAACTTGACTGGGCAGAGTTCCAGTGTGTTCCCTAAATACTCTAAATGTGTTCACCTACATAAAAGGGGGCATTTTATCTTGATGACCATTGCCAGGTCTGGTATAAGCTTATTTCGACTAATGGAAAAGAATTCAGTCTCCAGGGCACACACAAAGGGCTCTTTCATGATCACTATCCTCCGAGGATCAGGGACTGCTGTTTTTTCCCCTCTCTCCCACCATGAAATTCAAAGCATGAACGAATTCCAGTACTTACAGAAAATGGTGCTGAAAGCAATTCAACCATTTTACACATCACGTCTTCTGCAGTCACTGCATAATTTGTATTTTTAACTCAAAGGCCTAATGTAGATAAGCATGCCATTTAGCACTGAGTCTGTTTTAGAGACTATATCAAATTTACAAGCATCGATTTGTAAGATCAGAATTGCACTGTATTTTGTGTGTATTTGAAAAGTGCCTTAATGTATTTGTATTTAAATATAGAAGCTGGGCCAGATGCTCATATTTGAAAGCAACAAATCTGAACATGGAAATGATTTCAATATCTACATCTCCATTAATAGCAGGATTTAGATTGTCATCCCTTTGGGAAATTTTATGGTATTAGAATGTAAATGCTATCTTTTGGATAACAAAACCATAATGGTATAGGTCATTTGGGGATAGCTTTGCTTTTTTTTTTTTTTTTGGTAAAGATTCTGTCATGATATATATTAAAATGAATACCATTTGGCATTTAATTATTCAAGGCAAACATAGCTAACTGACAGGCTTCTAAAAAAGAGAGATTGAACAATCACACTGAGTAAGCAGGGCTCCCTTTCTCATATCCTTTACTGCAAGACGGTTGGTTGTCTGGTTCAAGAGAGCAGTATTAAATTTTAAGAATTCAGAGAAATAGTGAATCACATTTTATTGCCAACAATCAAAGTTATTGCTATTTCCTATATAGACAGGAGGATGAAGAAAATCACGATTGTTTTTTTTCTCCCCTACAGTGTTGTGTGCTGATCCATATTACTTAAGTCTGAAAAACAAATCACAAAACACTAAAGAGAGTCGATTTGGCACCATCCACGCACAGCACATGCACGGGTCTGCTTTCCTTGAATACAAATCTAAATAGCCCAAACACAATGCAATCGAAAAAGGCAAGTCTCTGTCAAACAGAAAGCCTTGTCCAACCAAATGGATTATCTACTCTGTGGGGATTATCTGTGACTCAGCTGCTCTGTATTGGTTAATAAAGGAGAACCTTCTGTACTTCATCACTTATCCCTTTCATATGGGTAAACCCCCTTAGGACAGGTATGCTCAAATTTCCTCGGAGCACCATGAAGCACCAAAGTACTAATAACCAGGGGACAACTGACTGGGCCTCAATATTGCAGCCATTTTTCATCCACATTATTATAAATGGAACAAGGCATTGAAATATGAGAAATTTCCACCCGTGTGAGATAACTGACAACCCCACCCTGTGGGACGAGGGAAGGAGATCATTGCTTGGGGCCTTTCTTCTCAGACTAATTTTTCTAGACATTTTCCCAAACATGATGCGATTAATCTTATAGAGCCTAAGCCTTATTAAAAACTCATTAGCAAATATCCTTGGCTATAAAAGGCACCATATTGAGCAGAATTTTGGCAAATAATAAACTTCATTGTACTTGGATAGAAATAGCCTTAGGTGCCAACAGTTCCATGGACTTGGAGCAGATAATGTAATTGCTGCTCCAGCAGCCCCAGCTCAGAGTCCAGTACCTGGGAAACTGTGGGCTGCATCCTGCCCCTCTTCCTTCCCCATCTCTTCAGGAGGGCACAGGCTTCTCACTGCTGCCCCCGTGCAGAGAGAACACTGCATCTAAAAGGTGGGCTGATGCAATACCTATTATAGTTAGGGAGCCTGTTGAGGAGGGAGGTAGCAAAGGCAGGCAGTGGAAGAAAGTGAAATTAGACCCATAGGCCACTCTTCTAGTGTTACAATCCTGTCTCCTTAAAAACTAAGAATTTGCAAATGGTTAAGTTTGCAAATGTTGCATTGCTTTGCTGGTAAAAGATTATGTTGTCTGCCAGGCTCCTTTTCACAGTCACCCCTGACCCATGTGCATAGTGGCTGCTCAGGGAGCACCTGGACAGAACAGGGCCTGTTTTTTTTTTTTTTTTTTTTTTTGAGACAGAATCTTGCTGGGTCATCTGGGCTAGAGTTCAGCGGTGTGATCATAGCTCACTGCAATCTCAAACTCCTGGGCTCAAGTGATCCTCCTGGCTCAGCCTCCTGAGTAGCTGGGACTACAGGCATGCGCCATTGTGCCCAGCTAATTTTTCTATTTTTAGTAGAGACAGGGTCTTGTTATCGCTCTTGCTCTTGCTCAGCCTGGTTTCGGACTTCTAAGCTGAAGTCATCCTTCCGCCTCAAACTCCCAGAGTGCTAGGATTACAGGCATGAGCCACCTCACCCAGCCCAGAGCCTGCTGTCTAGACCTGCAGAGAGCCCTGGCCAAACCAGAGAAAACCTGGGTGATCATAGGGACCACCTGAGGGGCAGAGTGAAAACAGATTGGTGGGCTTTGCTCCAACTCTCCTGCATCAGACCCCCTAGATGTCGTTCTTATGATCAGACAGGCTTGGGAGACAGCAGACTGCAGGCTTGTGAGTTGCTCAGGAGAGAGGGAAGGAGGGGCAACAGGAGACACGAGCTGCAATAGGATGCCCATATTTTCTATTCCTCTGAATGGATGCTCTTGCCTAAAAGCATGCTGGATAGCAAAGCCATTTCTGAATCCCTGCTGATAAAATAAAATAGTGCTCTGTGGGTCCTGTAATAATGAGTTTTCTACAAGTAATGATCCAGTTAACAACAGATACTTTTTCCGGTGTTTGTCTATGTAGCAGTCACTCTTCATAATGAGGGAGAAAAATCAGACTGGAATTGAATCTGAGCCATGTACAGTTTTGACTGGCTGACCTGACATTAAGTAGCAACTGTCTCTCATCAGTTCTCATTCCTACCCCTTTAAAGATTTATATATACACGTATGTGTATAAGCATATGTAATTTATATGGCATATACAAGATATATATAATATATATAAGATGTATGGATATAGATATGCCTCTAGGTCTGAAAAAGGAAGAAAGGAAAGGAAAGAAACCCATTTCCTTGCCCCACCACGCACAGAAAGTTCTAGCAGGGCAGCAGCACATGGAGCAGGAGCAGCATGTGAATTATTTTTAAACCAATGCAGTAATCAGATGTCTAAGCTAAGAGAACCCTTTAGATCAGCTAATTAGTGGCAAACTTTAAAACATTTTTTAAGTGTTGGTATTTTCCTTTCTAACAAAATGTTACTCAGAAATGCAAACATAAAACAGAAAAATGCAGAGCTGCCCTGCTTAGACTGTGGGCTGGCAGAGGAGAGAGGGGCCTCCCAGTGCTACCCTCACCTCTGGGCCATGCGTTTGCTACTCCAGGACCCTAAGGACATAGATGGAAACCACCTAGGAGGTTCAGCTTCTTCCTTCTACACTCACAGCAACTCCCAAGACCTGGGGAGAAGTAGTGTGGCCACCTGTTTTTCTGATTCCGGGATCAATGCTCTTCTGCAGTGCCGGGTCCCCTCGCCTCTCCCACACACCCCACACTCATTATTTAAAAAAATACCCTCCTGCACCATATGCCTGTCCCATAAAGTAGTTAGGAAAGTAACTACCATTCTGAGCTGGAACAGATGTGCACATTGGCCTTGCTCTCTCCAGGTGCTGCTCTGTATCAGCTGTTTCCTAGTCTTGTCTGGAGACCCTACTATGTGCCACACTCCACGCCTAATCTTAATGAAAGGATTAAAGAAAATTTGTCAAATTGAGGTGCCACCCACTACAGCCTCCTCAATTTCCATTTATCCATCAATGGTTCTCAACCCAGACGCCTAAGAGAATTGAGCTTTAGAAAAGAAAGACCTATGTCCAAGCGCCATCCCCACGGGTTCTGATTTGAGTGATCCAGGGTGAAACCCAACCATGGTACCCGGAGAGTCCACCCAGTTGCTTCTGATGCCCAGCCAGGATTACAAATCACTGAGCTACTTGAAAAAGTATCAGAGACTCTCAAAGGTCTTACTTTAAGGTGTTTTTAAAGAAATCATTGCATTAAGTGATTGGTGTATGCATAAAGTGCTCAAATAAAAACATATCACTGTTAAGGATGATCCCACGTAACTCTGAGAAATAGGGAAGCTACCCCATACATGCGGGTCTAAAGATAAGCCCTGAATTGTTCAAAGAAGAAAGCGTTGCTAACTCTTATATTCACTTCCAGATTTACAATGTCCATTACACTATGAGTATCAACGGGAAATTACAAGATGGGTCAATGGAAATAGATGCTGGGAACAACTTGGAGACCTTTAAAATGGGAAGTGGAGCTGAAGAAGCAATTGAAGTTAATGATTTCCAGAATGTAAGTATATTTCACGCATTTAGAGAGTTTAACCAGGGAAGCCGGGGGACTTTTCTACAATAATTCAAGGAGAAGCAGCATTTCTCACACACATCCAAATGGTAACTGTTCTTTATAGCAGCTGAAGAGCCACTAATCCACGAGTCATGTAGCATGTTCTCTTGGAGAAAGGGCCACTCTTCGTTCTTCATATTTGCAAAAGAAAAAACAATACCTCGGTGATAAAATATCAAAAAAAAGAAAACCCCAAAACAACAAAAATCCCACTTTTATTGAATTTAAGTACTTAAGGAATTACCAACTTTGAAAAAAAACTTTTACTTCTAGGAAATTCAAAATATAGCCCTAAAATTAAAATAAAGCTCGATTTTTAAAAATAAAAAAAAAAAAAACCATAATACCACAGCATTGAAAGAGCAGGTTCTTCTTTGAATATGTGAAGTCCTGGCAGAAAGACTTGAAGAAGCTTTTTCTTTCCAAGTAGTTTTCTGTAACACGGTGAAGGAAATGCTCAAACTCTCCTATAATTGTTGCAAGGTCTGAAATCTGAACTTCTAAAGAGGAAGGAAATTTTAATGACCTAATAATCTCATCGACAACATACCTATCTATTTACATACTTTTCTCAATTCTTCCAATTTCCCATTCAATCCAGAAAATTAGTGTGGGCAAATTCCCCTAATATAGCATATGTTTTCTGACCATGGCCTATTACAGATAAAACATTCTGGTCTCCTTTGAAAAGGAGACTGTTTTGTTTTTGCAAGAATTTAGGCTAGGCACAGTGGCTGTAATACCAGCACTTTAGGAGGCTGAGTAGGGAGGACCAGCCTAAGCAACATAGCAAGACCCCGTCTCTACAAAAAATTTACAAATTAGCCGGGTGTGGTTGCACACGCCTGTAGTCCCATTTACTGGGGAGGCTGAGGCAGGAGGATCACGTGAGCCCAGGAGTTTGAGGTTGCTGTGAGCTATGATTGGGCCACTGCACTCCAGCCTGGATGACAGAGTGAGACCTTGTCTCACCCAAAAAGCAAACAAACAAACAAAAAAAGAATTAATTTACAGGTAATCTGAGACATTAAGCTATGCAGCTGTGCTTCAGTGTACTTCTGCAAGCCAAAGCGTCACTCCAGGCCTAATTTCCTGTTGGCCACCATAAAATATCTTATTCTCTTTCATGCTTCACAGTGAGGGAGAGGCATCGCTATTTGTGTCCCCTATTAAATCTCCAGATGGAGAAGGTGAAACTTCACGATGAAAAAAGGCTCTGGAAAATAATGTCTCTTCTGATAGTTTATTAGTCCACAAACATCTCATCGACCCATCTTCCTCTGATTGATGAGAAAAACTAAAGATGCTTTTCATCCGTGTGAAAGCTCTCTTCCTTGTTGGTACCGAAATACACTTCACTAGTCCTTTTGAATACCCCACAGAGTCTAACATTAGCGTCCCTGTGGTGTTAGACGTTTGATGATGACAGGGACTGGCTGGGTTCAGAGCAGTCTCTGCCCTGGGGCTCTGCAGCCCTATGCACCACGCTGCACTTTGTTTAGTCTCAGCTTTGCAAATGGTTCTGGTCAGTGCACAAGTATAATTCCTCTGGACCTATTAAAGGCTTTTACTGCAAGACCCAGCACAGAGTAAAATCATTTTTTCTTTATATTACTCAGTATAAACTTATAAAATATGACTCCCACACACACATCATTCAATACAGAACAAAATGGAATACCTACGGTGTACCACGGTATCAAGATATGCAAAAGGAGCTACGAAGATGAATAAGAGAAGATCTATCTTTCTCGAGATGTTCATGTATCAAGAATATCCTTTTAAAATATTTCAATCCCAGACCTATATTTCTGTTTTATAATCTTTTGGTTCTTTCTAATAATGGTATCGATTGTGTTTTGTTCTCATAGACCAACAAGGCCACAAATATTTTATAAACTGATCAATTCTCTTTGATAGCTTCCACATTTCTCTAAGTCAGAACTGGTGAGGAGAACATTTTTTTGATGGATAGAACCTGTTATGGGTTTAAACAAGCCTGGACTTCTGAAAACGCATGAATCAGCCGCTACGGTACCTGCACTATTACTTTCTCCTCTATTTTAAGCCATAAGTCAAATTCAAGAAGCATTTTTGAGGCCTACTGTGTGCAAGTGCAAGGGACAGTGCTAAGCATGAGGAATGCAAAGGTGATGGACACTTCCCCCAAGGACCTTTGAGTCCAGTCCGGGAGACAGACACACACACACACACACACACACACACACACGCACGCACGCACTCGAGCACACACATAGAAATAGCTTCAGGTAGCTGGGAAATGTGCTGCAATGAGCTGTGAAGAGAGTGCATGAAGCACAGAGAAGAGGCATCGTTGTCAATTAGGGAGTTGGAGCTGATCTTACAAGGCTGGTGACAACCGAATCAGGTCCTGAAGAATGATTAGGATTCCAACTGGCAGGGAATCCTGGGCGCAGGGCTTTCCAGGCCCAGGGGAGAACGGTGGACACGAATGTGCAGGCCTGCTCCAGAGTAGTTCTAAACAGCCCAATGCAGCCCAGCCTGGGGAAGGGAAGAAGATAGGAATAAAGGTGAGGACAGATTATGAAAGGTTATGGATTATAAATGAACAATCTATTCACCCAGGACCTCACCAAAATTTTAGGAGAGCCCAATGGAAGAAAAAAAAAAAAAAAAACCCTGGGAAAAAGTGCTTCAGGCTGTCTACCCTGAGAGATACAAAAACTGAGTTAGCTTATAGTGCATCAGCTACACTCTAGGTTATACCCTCATGAGTATCAGGGCTGTTGGTTTAAGAGCCCCTTACACCTAATGTTCTGTTTACATAACAAAACTCCTGATCCAAAATTAAAAGGGAATAAACTGGTGGGTATATGGGTGTTTACCGTATAATGTTTTGAACTTTGTGAATATTTGAAATTTTTTATTTAAAAAGCTGGAGAGGAAAAGGATAGCATAACCTACCTAGTAGGTAGGTAGATTATTGATTTCAAAAGTCAATATAAGGCCGGGCGCTGTGGCTCACGCCTGTAATCCTAGCTCTTGGGAGGCCGAGGCGGGCGGATTGCTCAAGGTCAGGAGTTCAAAACCAGCCTGAGCAAGAGCCGAGACCGTCTCTACTATAAATAAGAAAGAAATAATTGGCCAATGATATATATATAAAAATTAGCCGGGCATGGTGGCGCATGCCTGTAGTCCCAGCTACTCGGGAGGCTGAGCAGAAGGATCACTCAAGCCCAGGAGTTTGAGGTTGCTGTGAGCTAGGCTGACGCCACGGCACTCACTCTAGCCTGGACAACAAAGCGAGACTCTGTCTCAAAAAAAAAAAAAAAGTCAATATAGCCCCCAACTATAATATAAAGGGAAAAATAGGCCGGGCGTGGTGGTTCACGCCTGTAATCCTAGCACTCTGGGAGACCGAGGCGGATGGATTGCTTGAGGTCAGGAGTTCAAAACCAGCCTGAGCGAGACCCCGTCTCTACTAAAAATAAAAAGAAATTAATTGACCAGCTAAAAATATATATACAAAAAATTAGCCGGGCATGGTAGCACGTTCCTATAGTCCCAGCTACTTGGGAGGCTGAGGCAGGAGGATTGCTTGAGCCCAGGAGTTTGAGGTTGCTGTGAGCTAGACTGACGCCACAGCACTCACTCTAGCCTGGGCAACAAAGTGAGACTCTATCTCAAAAAAAAGGGAGGAGAGGGAATAAAATGAAAGTAGTTTATAGTAAAATACAGACTTCATATGTAAATGTTCAGCCAGATATAGTAGAAGACATAGAGTCAAACACTTGCACCAGTAGTTGAATGACTGTTAATGCCACTGCCCAACATGCAGACAGACACACGAGTGTGTGGGCAAATTAAATGCCTTGCAATTTTCTCTAACAATGAATAAAATACTGTTTTCTTTCCATTTTCCCAGTAGTTGCATTTCTAGGAAATTTGTACATTAAAACTATTCCAAAAATCCCAATTCCAAAACTACAATTTATATGTAAAACAGTGTTGGGTCCTAGGCACAGATACTTAGAGATAGGTTTTTTTCTCTGGATCCAGGACAGTTGGTTCTTGGGGACTGTCCCAGGCTCTCCAGGACCTAGCATCCCTGGGCCCTGCCCAACAAAGGCCAAGAGTGCCCCCGATCTTTGTGACAACAAAAACTCCTCCAGAGATTTTCCATGTGCCTCCTTAGGGGCAAGACCTCCGCCCTTGTTGGGAAGCTCTGGTTGAAGACACAGGAATCGATTAGCTCCCCTAGAAAGAAAAAACGTGCAGCTAAGGTGAGATTGCCTGCCTCTGTGATAAAAGAACGTTAGATCACTGGAATCTTCACTCATTGCCTTTGCTAGCGAATTTCTTCATTATCACTACTTCTAAGACCTTGTTTGTTTGTCTGCAAAAGCAGGAGGTTTTCTTGGTTTTCTTCTTCTTCTTTGAGTTCCCTCTATTTCATCTCTTAATATCTCTGGCTGCTTGATGTGGATTTGTAGCTAGACATGATGGTTAATATGTGTGAATTCCTTCCCACAGGCCTGGTCCCCGTGGGGGTTTCAGTTCTCTCTGCTGTGTGTAGACTGTCAGAACTAACTCAATACAGATTCACATTCGGTGCTGTGAATCCTTCAGCAGAATCAGCTCTCTCCTTTGGGGATATGGTAACGGCTGTATGGCGTTTCCTCCCTCGAATCTCACATTCAGGGGACATGAGTGTTTGAAGTTAGGAGAACATATCACACAGGGAGGCAGTCATCTCCCTCCCCTGCCTTCTGTTTTTCCAACTGTGAGTGCTAGATTGACATGCAGAACAACAGCAAGCAGACCTTTGGGAGGTAGCATATTAGAGAACAATGGGTCCCAAAGTGTGTTCCACAGGCCACAGGAGGTGGGGCCTGGCACTGTGTGTCATTTAACAAGGCCTCCAGATGATTTTTTTAAATGTTCCTTTTAAACGTTCATATATACTATGAACGTTTAAACGTTCATTCATACATTAAAATAATTAAACATACTTTAAACATGAACATACTTTAAATGTTCATTCATACATACTATGTAGCGTGATATTTTGCTACATGAGTAGAATGTATAATGATCAAGTCAGGAGTATTTGGGGTATATGCCTTAAGTAATTTAATACACCCTGAGTATTTATCATTTCTATATGTTAGAAACATTTCAAGTCATCTCTTCTAGCCACATTGAAATGTACAATACCTTGTTGCCAACTATAGTCATCCTGCTCTGTTATGGAAAGTTAGAGCTTACACCTTGTATCTAACTGCATGTTTGTACCCATTAACCAACTTCTCTTCATCCCCCCCGACACCCTTTCTGGCCTTTATTTGATTCCACACATGAGTGAATACACATACAGTATTTGTCTTTCTGTGCCTGGCTTGTGTTAATTAAGATAATGACGGTTGTCCGAGTGCAGTGGTGTTTACAACTAATTGATCACAACCAGTTATAGATTCCTTTGTTCCTTCTCCACTCACACTGCTCCACTTGACCAGCCTAAAAAAAAAGATAATGACCTCCAGTTCCACTCATGTTACTGCAAATGACATGATTCATTCTTTTTATGGCCTAGTAGTATTCCGTTATATATATAGAGAGATAGATGATTGATAGATAGATCACATTTTCTTTATCCATTCTTCTGTTGATGGACACTTAGGTTGATTCAATATCTTTGCCATTGTGAATAGCGCCGTAATAAACATGCGAGTGCGGGTATCCCTTTGATACACTGATTTCTTCTCGTTTGGATAAATACCCGGTCCTGGGATTGCTGGATTATATGGTAGTTCTATTTTTAGTTTTTGAGAAACCTCACGAAGGTTCTCAAAAGATATTGGCCCAATTAATTGATTCCATGAATTTAGAATTTTCCTCAGTTGCTGAGCCAAGAGTAAATAGTAAAGCTTTCTATAGCTCCGGGAGCTGAACTTTGCTTCTAGACCTTACCCGAGGACTTGGGTGTTTTGTTTTTTGTCCCCTGTGAGATATAAACAGTGTCTCCTCCTTAATCTACTTAGGGACCAGCCTCCCGAATGACTGTGATGTTCAAAGCAGGCTGCATGGAAAAGGTGGCTTTTCATCTGAGCTTGTGGGTATTGATGGAGTTTTTAATATATTGCATCTCAGCTCAAATGTCACCCCCTCATAAAGTCACCTCCCCTGATTACACCATTTAAACTACCATACCTTGTCATTCTTGTCCTTGTTCTCTGCCTTATTTTTCTTCCTAACATTTATCACCACCTGAATTTATTTCTATTTTTTATGATTGAAAATAATGCTAAAAGTTAAGCTCTAAGAGGGCAGGGATTTCATCTGTTTTGTTCATTCCTGTACCCAACACCTGGAACAGTGCCTGGCACATAGCAGACACTCAGTAAATTGAACAAATGAACAAATGGGCAGATGGATGGATAACCTTTTATTTCACAGGGCATCACGGGAATCCGCTTTGCTGGAGGAGAGAAATGCTACATCAAAGCGCAGGTGAAGGCTCGTGTTCCTGAGGTGGGCACCGTGACCAAACAGAGCATCTCCTCGGAACTGGTGAGTACAACATGCTCTAGACAGCAAGTGTGTGTCGCAGACACTGTTTGAAGGCACAATCCTTTCTGCCTCTAGTTCCTGGATCGGTCCATGACCAGAACCTAAGTTCTATTTCTTCTCTACCAAAGGAATTGAAACTGTCTTTGTCCTGCTGGTTCCAAGGGATCATTCTTACATGACATAGTATATTTAAAGGTTTTGGGAAGCCATGTTTGCTTAAAGGGGCTTGGTACTCACATGGGCCCTTCTTTGCCTGATGTTAGGGAACTATCTGATCAGTGGTTAAGACTTCACAGTAAAGATAAAGAACACCACAAGATAGAATCTTCATTAAAGGGGCCTCAGGAGGCCAGACATGCTGGCTCACACCTGTAATCCTAGGACTTTGCAAGGCTGAGGTGGGAGAATCGCTTGCGGCCAGGAATTTGAGACCATTCTAGGCAACATAGCAAGACCCCATCTCTACAAAAAAAAAGAGGAAAAATTAGCCAAGTGTGGTGGCTCATACCTGTAGTTCTAGCTACTTGGGAGGCTGAGGCAGAAGAATCGCTAGAGCCCAAGATTTCGAGGCTGCAGTGAACTCTGATGATGCCTCTTCAACGGAGTAAGACCCTGTCCCTAACTCTTAAAAATTTTTTTTTAAATGAAAGGACCTCAGGAACCTTCTAGCCTCAGCCCCACTCAAATATAGGAATTCTTTCTAAACACCCCCACCGGCTGATCGCCTGGCCTCTGCCATAAAGCAGTGACGTGACAGGGGGAGGGGGGATTCCCCCAACCAGGCGCAGGTGTCAGCCAGCTTTCTGGGGGGGGGGAGGTTCTAATCGTTCTGCCCCACACTGAGCTGAGACGGCTCCCCCTACAATTTCTTCTCATTGGTTCAAGTTCACCCCAATGAAGCGACACAACCTATATCTAATTCCTTTTCTGTGTGTCAAACCTGTGAGATTTTTAAACAGAATTGTTCCATTTATTATTAATAACATGCCTTTGAGCTTGATTTTTTAAAATTTAAGAATTGCACGCAGAGTTCTAAAGACACACTTAACAATAACACCTTACATTGTTATAATACATTGGGGCTTACAAAGTGATCACATTCATTATCGTCTTCCATTTGCGATGCGGCAGGGTAGGGAGGAAAGAAAATGCATGTTAGAGTCAGAAAAACATGGACTCAAATCCCAGCTCGGACCCTTGCTAGGGATGTGGCTTCAATTCATAGAGCCTGTTTTGTCGTCTGAAACTGGGGGTGTGAATACTGTGCCCAGGGCCCTAGAATCTACTGGATGGTGACTACATGGCTGCGGCTCATTATTGTTAATTTTATTATGACCATCTTTGATCCTGCCAGTATCCCTGAGAGGGAGGCCAAGCAAGTATCAGCTCCCTCCAGGCAAAAGAGGAGAAATGCCGGTAAGCAAAGGTGCCTGGAAACTGCCTGGTTGCTGGTCCCACGGGAGCAGCGGGCGGTGTCTCAAACGGCACGACAAAAGCTGTCAGGTTTTAGAGCTGGCTACCATGTCCTCTATTTTCTACTCCCAGTTTCCCCAGCATTCGCCTGTGAGATGTTTTCCAGACTCTCCTTTCTCCAGTCATCCTCTCCTGATCACGTTCCAGTTTGTTCCTCACAAGCCGAACAGCTTGGCATTGAAGCCCGTGCTCTCAAAGTGACTCACGAACACCAGCTCCAACAATGGGACCCCGACCTCCTTTGTTCCGACCCTTGAACTTCTCCGACTGCGTTGCCATTTTTTATAGTCATGTCACTTACTTTCTGTCATGGAGACTTTAGTGTAGTCCTCGCCATTTTCCCCATCAAGGGGCGTAGAACTAGCTTTCCTGCCTTCCACAAGGACTAGACTCCCCAACGACAGCTGACCCCGATCTAGTCATAAGTTCACAATATAGTTCAGGTTTTTTAAGGTTTATTTTTCCTGATATTTAAAAATACCTTCTCACTATAGGAAATTTGGCAAATACATAGAAATATAGAGAAGAACATTGCCTACAATTGCATAATCCATTATGCAATTGTAATAGCTAATGTTAATGTTGTGGTGGATTTTCTTCGTGTGTGTGTGTGTGTTTGTGTGTGTGTTTGTGTGTGTGTGTGTGTGAGAGAGAGACAGAGACAGAGAGAGAGAAATTCTTTTCATAAATGAAGTTACATTGTCATACGTGCTTATTATCACAACTTTAGTTCTTCTAAAATGTAGATTATAATGGATATATTATACATCATTATATGATTATAATTTTCAAAGTCTTTTGTTCTTGAATACTTCAGGTATCTTCAATTTTTCACTATTTAAAATAATAATAACTTAAAACAACTATTTTTCAATACAAAAATAATTCAATGTGTGAATTATTTTTGTATGTAAATCTTTGTCTGCATCTGATTCTTAGGCCATAGAGGTAGATTATTTGGCTTGTGTTTTAGTGGTTTATGTCGTGTGTGATGGTCGATCCTCTGGTGGACAAAAACAAATTCAGACAATATATTTGTGTGAATGAGGAATGTGTTTGGCTGTCAGTAGCAGAAAACTGCACTCAGAGTAACTTAAACAGAGATTAGTTTTCCTCCATGGGAAGCAATGTGCAGGTAGGCGGCTGCAGGCATTGGCTTGGTGGCCAGTGACTCTGTGATTTTTTTTTTTTAATGTTTCCTTCCAGCTCCAATTGTGGTTGGCAATGCTCAACCTCTTCCCAACTTCCTTACTTGGCATTCAAGTAAAAAAGTCAAGAAGAGGGGAGGGGCAGAAAGAAAAAAAAAGTCAAGAAGAAAGAAGTTGAATGGTGCCAGACATGACTTCCCTTTAATCAGGAAAAGCAGAAGGCCTCCCAGCCCCCCTCACATGGTAGGCCTAGATCTCACTGGGTAGCCCCGATTCACTCAGGCACCCCTGGCCACTGGACAGTCTGAGAAAGCAAGTGTCTCTCCTGGGGCCTGGGCACATTGCTGCTTCCAATCAAAGCAAGATTTCGCTGCAATAAAGGGGAGGAAGGAAGGCGATTGGGTAGGCAACTGAAAGTACGTGCCCAAAGATTTATTTAATGTTCTTAGCTTGGAGAATGCATCTATATGCATTATCCCAATCACCCCACTCTTCCCCCACACACTTTAGATTATGATGGGATAGATTTATGCACCACTTGCTCTCATAAATTTTTCATCAGTTTTGTATAACTTTAAAATGCTACTGTACTCAAAGAGCATTCATTTCCTGGATGGAGCCATTTAATTTAAGGTAAATAACTGGATTACCTGAGTGTTAGTTTCCTCCAATAACTTTAAGTTGTTTTAATGCAGCCGTAAGCCTGAGGGAGAAAGCATAAATGAAGTGCTGCTTTTAGCCAAAAATAAGGAGAAAACATTTTAATTTCTCCAAGCTCTTGCAAACTAATAAATACATGAAAGGAACAACCTGGCAAAATAAATTTGTCTCCTGGGTTAGGAAACCATTCTCAGCATCTCGCTGTAGAAGAAAATCCAGGGTTTAGCTTTGAAATCTCAGTGGCGTGCTTGACGCAAGGAACATCTGAAATATGTGTTGCGATAGCCGGGAAGTGAAGAAATGGTTTATGTTAAATAATACTTTGAACTGAAGACATTAAAGAACCAATCACTCGCTTTTGCCATTGTTGTTCTGAAGCTGCAGAACAAAACCCCACAAGATTTTCACTTCAAATGAAGGGTTCCTCTCTCCTTTATGGGATTCCAGGGTCCATTCAATTGCTTTTCCTCAAAAACATCTTTGATCGAAAATATCAGATTAACCTAAATCTCAAAGTTGGTATCAAGCAATTTTCACTTCAACTCAGGACACTCATTTTCACACATTACAGCTATCCAAAGACTGGGCAATGGGAGGAGGTGAGCTGAATATTGGGAAGGAAACTACAAGGAGAAGAGATTAGGACCTTAAAATAGATGCATGTGTACACACGTGCACGCACACACCCGTGCACAGAATTCTCATTAATTTTTTATAAGGCAAAAATAATCTTGTAGCAACACGTGACTCTTAACATGTAGCATGTTCCACCGTCCTCTTTGCTCAACTGCATTTCATTTTTACTTACAGGAAGGCAAGATCATGCCAGTTAGATATGAAGAAAATTCTCTTATCTGGGTGGCTGTAGATCAGCCGGTGAAGGACAACAGCTTCTTGAGTTCGAAAGTCTTAGAACTCTGTGGCGACCTTCCTATTTTCTGGCTTAAACCAATATATCCAAAAGGTAACACTTTAAATTATCTTAATGCTGCTTAAAATTCTCCCTGTTCCCTTGAGTTTCCTACAGCCCCATCCACAGCTCCGAGCATGTAACAAGGGGCAGAAATAGTGTTTCGGGGTCTCAGTAATTAGCAAGAGAGATGAAGGAGAAGGAAAACGAGAGCCCGTGCCTGTTGTAGGGAAGGGAAGGAGCAGAGGGTTAGCAGGAGGCAGGTGGGGGAGACAGAACACCACTGCATTCATTACCCGTGCCTTTTATTTACGACACTCCCACTTCTTTCCGCTCTGCCCCTTAATCTCAGTTGTTTGCACCTTCCAATTTTACATTTTTTTTATTTCTAAGGCATAGAATCAAGGGACTAAGAAGCTGTCATACCACTGAATCTTGATTATGTTCAAACCCAGAATTATGGGACAGCCAAAAGCTACTGTGGGTAGAGGCTGAGATTCCTCAAGTTCAAAGCATAAGCATCAGCTTCCAAGTCTGGGGAAAAGAAACGCAGGGTCCCCGGGGTTCAGAGGTAGTTTGGGGCATGCCTGTGAGCTGTTTCCAGGTAACGAAGGGCAGGTGAACCGGTGGGTCTTGCTCTTCCCCCTGAGTTTCTCCTGTCCCCAGAGGCTCTCTCCCTCTTCACGTCTACTGCGGCACCATACTGGCCTCCCAAAGGCCTATTTTGCAGCTCTGGTTCAAGTGTAGAGAAAAAGGCCTTTCTCCTAGCACAGCTGAGATAGGCTATGTTTTCTGAAATATTTTATTGAACACCAGGAGAAAGCAGCATGGAAATAAAATATAGGCATGAAAAACCACTAGGCTTGTAGGGATGGGGAGCAGAATGGGCAGTGTGCAGTAGGTACACAGTTTCAGTCTGGTGCAAGATGAGAAAAGTTTTTGGCTGGGCACGATGGCTCACACCTGTAATCCTAGCACTTTGGGAGGCTCAAGTGGGATGATTGCTTGAGGCCAGGAGTTCGAGACCAGCCTAAGCAAGAGCAAGACCCCATCTCTACTAAAATAGGAAAAATTAGCCGGGCATGGGGATGAGTGCTTGTAGTCTCAGCTATTCAGGAGGCTGAGGCAAGAGGATCACTTGAGCCCAGGAGTTTGAGGTTGCAGCGAGCTGTGATGACACCACGGCACTCTCTAGCCCAGATGACAGAGTGAGACCCTGTCTCAATAAAAAAAAAAAAAAAAGAGAGAGAGACAGAGACAGAGAAAAGTTCTAGGTATAGGCAGTGGTGATGGTTGCACAGCAATGTGAATGTACTTCAGGCCAATGAACCATACACTTAAAAAGGGTTAAAACAGTACATTTTGTTAGGTTAATTTTACAATTAAAAAAAAAAAAAAGCCTCACCAGACTCAGAAAAGGCAAGTTTCTGACTCTGCCATGACTCAATGTTAGAGTTCACAAGTCCTATTCTGTTCCAAAGCCTGGAGGACGTGGTTTCTCTCCAGCCCTGGTGAGGCAGATAGGAGTCACGTTATAAGCCACTGGCAGTAGCTGCCTGGTGCATGGGTTGAGAAGGAGCCCGAGGCATGGTCAGTAAGTAGGCGGTGTCTGTCCCAGCTGCAGGGGGCTGGGGAGGGGGCTGCCAAGCGGGCTGTGCTTTTGCTATTCCTGTTCTTTCCCCGGGTGTGGTCGCAGCTCACAATTCCACGGCCAGTTGCCAAGTTCTGGCTTTCCCTTCCCCACCTTCCTCCATGCCAGGGGCCTGCTCCCTTTCCACTACCCGGAACTCCCTCCCTTCCCAGCCACGGACCAGAGTCGGCCCCACTGCCACCAGGGTCCTCCTTGATCGCTTCCTGTCTGAGGATAAGCCTCTCACCCAGAGAGCTCGCTCACTCACTCACTCGACAAACATTTATGAGGGCCTGCCGTGTGCCATATACTTATTCTAGGCTTTCGAGATGCATCAGCGAACAGAATAGACGGGGATCCCTGCCCTCAGGGAGTTTTACATGGTAGCAAGGGGAGATAGTAAATAAACACTAAATTAAGATAAGAAAATCATATAGTGTGATACCAGGTGCTATGGACAAAGAACACGGTAGAGCAAAGGGGCGGGGAGTGGGGATGGAAGACAGACGTATTGGCAATGCTAAGGCGACCAACACCGAGAGTGACTTCAGCCTTAGGGAAAGAGCTTGTCCCCTACATCCAGAGGTGGCTTGGTCCCTCACAGCCCAACAAACAGCATGGCCACATTTTAAGTAGTCAAGCATCACAGCACCCATACAAGATTTACATATATTATATACCCTGGATAACTGGAAGCCACTTAAATACTCCCAGATTAGAAAAGGATTAAAGAAATGTTGGTATATCCATAGGATGGAATATCATAAACATTAAAAATGAAGGACTTCCCCCAGCTCTTACAAGTGCAGTAATATTTTACAATAAAATCAAGAAAATAAATCTCCTCTGATGATGCCTGTCTTCTCCTCACACACCTAATTCTAATAAAAGCCACACACACACTCCAGGGTCCAGCAGCCCCTGCCCTTGGCTCTTGATGGCCGCAGGTCATCAGTGCCACACAGCTGTATTAGCAGAGACACCGTGAATGGCGCTGGACACAGGTCGGAAAGGAAGGGGGGAGCTGATGTCTGCTGAGCTCTGACTACGTGCCAGGCACCGCACTAGAGGATCACACTTTATCCTCATTGAATCCTTACCATTCAATCCTTACCTTGTTGGGGTAACTACTCATATTCCCATTTTGCAGGTGAAGAAACTGAGGCTCACAGAGTTTAAGTCATTCAGCTAGTTAAAAGAAGTAGAGTTGTGGCTGGACACAGCGGCTCACGCCTGTAATCCTAGCACTGTGGGAGGTTGAGGTGGGAGGATCGCTTAAGCTCAAGAGTTTGAGACCAGCCAGAGCAAAAGCAAGACCCTGTCTCTACAAAAACATAGAAAAATTAGTCAGGTGTCGTGGTGCATGCCTGTAGTCCTGGAGACTTGGGAGGCCTAGGCAGGAGGACTGCTGGAGCCCAGGAGTTTGAGGTTGCTATGAGCTATGATGACACCACTGCACTCTAGCCTGGGAGACAGAGTGAGACTCTGCCTCAAAAAATAAAAAGAAAGAAAGAAAGAAAGAAGTAGAGTTGTGATTGAATTCAGGTCTCCCTAATGCTTCTCCAACCATGCTATCTGTGAAAGCCCTCTATGGCTTTAGAGCACATCAGAGTTCTCATAAAGAACAAAGCATGATATAATCATCATCACCTAACATTTGAGTGCTTATTATATGCCAGACATTGTGCTAAAACCCTTTTTTTTTTTTTTTTCCAGATACAGGGTCTCTGTTGCCTAGGCTGCAGTGCAATGTGTGCTAAAACCTTTAGACACAGATTCTCATTCATTTTTTTTTCATTTTTTATAATTTTTTTCTTTTTTCTCTTTCTTTAAAATCACTGTTTCTGGGAGCCTAGATTCTCATTAATTCTATCACTGTGAATTAGATACTATTCATATTATATCCCCATTTTATGGATGAAGAAACTGAGGCTCAGAGAGATACCAAAGTCCAAGCCGTGTGGTACTTTCCACCTTTGTTATACTCGGCAGCCATGGGCCCTGCGGTAGGACCCGGGAGGCCGCATGGTAAACTAGAGCAGTGGGTTGGAAGCCAGAGTTCACACTTCCCTCCTAGCTCTGCCACCCATTCTGTGATCTTGGCCAAAGATCGTGGTCTTTCTGAGCCTTGATGCCCTCATATAGAAAAGCATCTCCTTTTTCTATCCCATAGGATTTTTTAAAAGAACCTACCAAGGTATTATGTCCCTTGCAAATGGTAAAGTTTTATACCTATATAGTCAATCCAGGAGGAATACCATGGGCTGCAAGTAACAGAATACCTGGTCAACAGTGGTTTCAACAAATACAGGCTTTTTTTTTTTTTTTTTTTTTCATATAGCCAGAAGTCTGGAGATAGGAGGTTGCTGGCACGATCAGTGATCCCATCAAGTCTCTTTCTAACTTACCATTTTGCTGTCCGTAGCATGCTGGCAGATCATCCCTGTGCCTACCACTTCATGGTCACAAGTTGGCTCTCATAACTCCAGATATCACATCTACGTTCAAGAAATGAAAACAAGACAGAGGAAGCCTGTCTGTCCCCTTTTACCAAGAATGCAAAAGCTTTCCCAGAAGCAGCACTAGCATATTCTGCTTATGTCCCACTGTTCAGAAACGTGTCACCTGGCCACGCCTAATCGCATTGCAGGCTGGGGAAATGAATGGTATTTTTTCTCAGCCCCTAGAGTGAAGGCAAACAAAAAAACAGGGGAGAGGGGTTGAGAATGGATTGAGAATGGATATTTGTCAGCCATGTTATAAAGTCTGCCTCAATTAGCATTACAAAACCAAATTTGGGTTATCTGTGTGTTTATTAACCGAAGACTCTAAAACATGCCTTATTATTACAAAAATCATCGGTACAAAAATTGTGAAGTATCTGGTCATGTATACGTTTTGATAGGCTTTTCTTTTGTTTTCACCCTGATAAACACAGATCTAGCTTCCATAATTATTCAAATAAAGGAATTAACTTACAGCTATTTTTGCAGAAATTCAGAGAGAAAGAAGAGAAGTGGTAAGAAAAATCGTTCCAACTACCACAAGAAGACCACGCAGTGGGCCACAGGGTAACCCAGGCCCTGGCAGACTGAATAATGAAACTAGACCCAGTGTTCAAGAGGACTCAGAACCTTACAACCCCGATAATCCCTACCATGTGCGTACTGATGTTTTCATGACATGCTCAGACGAATGCGTTAAACATAGTGCTGAAATGGTGTTTTGACTTGAGGTTTCAAATGAACATCTAGTATTCAACTGAGACTTTTGCTCAGTTATTTAAAAAAATACATCTATGTGTTGCAAGGTTTATAATTAAGAGTAAGAACACTTAACCGTTGCCCCTGTAGTGAAGTCCTGATTGGTTAGTAACCCTTATTCAAAGTTGTTTTCTATGCTGTCCTTTTATTGATTTATTTATTTTGAGTCACAAATCCATGAAAACAAATTCATATCAGGAATTTGATTTTTTAAAAATGTTTCCAAGAGTATTCCCTGGAGGCAACATATAGAACGCAAGCATTCTCTTTCCCCCTTCATATCCACTGTATTCCTCCATTCCACACACATTTGTTGAGTTCCTGCTCCTTCCCAGGCCCTGCGCCTTAGGCTGAAACCTTGAGAATTGATGTTTACAAAGATAAACAGTAAGGTGCTAAAGAAAAAATCCAGGAAATATTTACCACTACTATAGTTTGCAGGGAGTGATGGTAGAATAAGCATTTATTTGTGACTAGTTTTTAAAATAAAAAATACACCCGCATGTTTTTTTAAATGGTATAAAAGGGTATATATAATGAAAAGTGAGTTTTCCTGTCACCCCAGAAACCCTCCCCAGGGTAATCTATTAACAATGACTGCCCACTTTCTTTTAAGTACACACACACAAATTTTATTTTTGTCACTGGCAAAGTCCTACAGAAACACACAAAACTTCTATACCTTGTTTTCTTTTCAGCTGCATTTTGGAGATGGTTCTGTATCTCCTACATAGATCTACTTCACTTATTTAAAAAAGAAATGGTGTAAGATGGTATTTTGATGACATAATTTGAACATAAGCTGTTATCATATAGTGTTAAGGAATTAATTTTGTTAGGTGTAATAATGGCAGTGTGGTTGTGTAGGAAAATATCCTTATTTTGGTGGTAAATTCTATTTATTCTATTTATGGGTGAAATGTTACAATGCCTTCAATTCTCTTCAAACTCACTTCAGAATTTACTATACTTCTAGGGGAAAAAAGCAAACTGGACAATAGGTTAGCCATTGTTATATCCAGATGATGAGTGTATTGGTGTTCAGTATACAATTTTCTCCCCACTCCAATATTTGAAATTGTTAATATTATCCCCTCCTCCAATTAAGACTTAAAAAAAAAATAACATAATCGGCTACCTTCAGGAAAGAGGGTGAAATTGAATCACGAATTTACATTAAAGGTAAGGGATTCTTGGCAATGTAATTCCATACCATATTAAAGAGGATACAGAGTCTCTACCCCTAGAACTCTTTTGAAAAGGAAAACCAGAAATGTAAATCAGGCCAGAGGCAAATTCCCTCCAGTTTTGTAATCTCTCCAGCAGTGTGATTTTTACTTCATCAATAACCTTGTGTTTATGTAACTATAATTATGGCACATAGAAACTAGAAGGTAAAGTTTAAGGTCTTGGATTTTTACATATTTTTATAGAGCCTTTTCCTGAGGCCCCTATGTCCTCTTGGAAATAACATCCCCATTCTGTTGCTGAATGGAAGCCAAGAGAAATTAAGTGACTTGACAGTGTTCTCAGAGCCAGTGCAACTGGAGTGAAATCTGCCTTTAGTATAGATGAATGAGTTTCAAAATGTGCTCCCAAGAGCTCTGGAAGCTGTTACAAGAAGGCACCAGTGATCCACTGACTTAAAATTAGCAGTGGCAGAAATGCTACTTTTGATCATAATGCTTCCTTTTTGTATTCTTATTTAAAATGAGTTGAGTCATTAGTGACTGGTAATCATGGCTTATTAAGCATGGAGAGACCCGGAGTGGCAGTGTGCACTTGTATTCCCAGCTACTTACTTAGGATGCTGGGGCGGGAAGATCGCTTGAGCCCAGGAGTTCAAGGTTTACAGTGAGCTACGATCGCTGCCACTGCACTCCAGCCTGGGGGACAGAGTGAGACCCTTTTAAGAAAAAGGGCATGGAGAAACTTCAGGATATTGTTAAAAAACAAAACAAAACACCAACTCAGCCAGTGACAGATTAGGTAGGTGAAGATGCCTTCATGTCAGAAGGAATTCTGAATGACAGCAGGTTAACAAGATTGAAAACTTCTTACAGCAGATAATGCTGACTTCTTGTAGCAGTGAAAAATTCAAGGTCTTATTTGCATGCATGCTATAACCTCATTATAAAGAAAACACAAATAATTCTCTCTTACTTCCCAGCAGCAGGAAGGAGAAAGCATGACATTTGACCCTAGACTGGACCACGAAGGAATCTGCTGTATAGAATGTAGGCGCAGCTACACCCACTGCCAGAAGATCTGTGAACCCCTGGGGGGCTATTATCCATGGCCTTATAATTATCAAGGTTGCCGTTCAGCCTGCAGAGTCGTCATGCCATGTAGCTGGTGGGTGGCCCGTATCTTGGGCATGGTGTGAAATCACTTCATATATCATGTGCTGTAAAGTGAGAATTAACTGAAGAGACAACCAAAGAAACATGAGGCATGTTGGTGCCGAAGGGATCACAAAGTATTTTTATGACTCAACCTAAGCAATGTTATCCTAGGATATTTCTCAATTGCTTTCCAGAACTTTATTATGTGCAAATGTACTGAAAGGGTAGTTTAAGTCTAAAATGCCATAATAATTCTTTTATTATTTGCCATTTTTTATTTGCTTTGCCTTGCCAGTAAGGCCTGCTTATAAGTGTTCCCAAGCTATTTTGAAATAAAGGTGAAAAATTATTCACAATTTGTCAAAGATCTCAATTGTACACTTGAGTTTCCTTTAATCATCATGACCAAAATAAAGTTCTGTAATTTGTACAGAATTCCTCAATTGTTCTTAACCTTTGTTCTTCCCTGTCTTGTAAATGTGTCCCCAGAGTTCCCAAAACACAAATAAATGAAAGGACATATAATGGAATCTACCCAAAAGCAAGCATTTTAAGCCTCAATATGGAAGCTCATGGGGAGTTTAAAAAAAAAAAAAGAGTGGGATGTCACATACCCCTCTATTTAGAGAGGGGAGTTCTTTATCTGCGGTATACACTGGCATGTGATTGACACATGGCTAAACCTTTTTAATAAAGAGTCAGCTCCAGGAAAAGAGCATGATGATAAAGAAAAATGTAGATGAAGATAAATCAAACTTTGAGGGAGAACTTTATTGATATTCTGAAAAGCAGGTCTTCACACCCTTTTCAATCTGTTTTCAATAAGTGGTCACTAGGTATAAAGCAGCATAATGATTTTTCCCTTTGTAGTACAAATCAGGCTGCTGATGTAGTCCAATTACCAGTAAGTTACTCATCTATTTATAGGGCTGACAGTGAGTGTTGCTTGGCAGATACAGCTGAGGAGGAATAGCTTATTTATTTATAATGACATAAAGAAAGTCTCTCAGGAACAAGGACTGTCTTTAAAAATTGAAATATTAGATCAGGAAGATGAGCAGGTATTTCATATTTTTGACATTTTAGTTTTGAATCCCACAGTTTGAGAGATAAACAACTTTCCTAGGAAAGTAAGTTTTCCAAAACATAGGATTCTGAGATGACAGAAAGGTCTTGATGCCATGATCACACTATAGTCCCATATTCTGAATACATATTACTCTATGTCTGGTGTTTGCCAATTAAAGTCTGTAAAATGATACAGAATTTTACAAACCTGGTTATCATATGAACACTAAGATGCTTCTTCCATTTAATGGCAATATGCAGTAAGCTTGGTCTTTGGAGAAGTAAAGGATAAAGGAAATACACACTCTACAGTGACAAGTAATGGTCACACTCTTCTCAGGCAGCAGCTATTTCATGCAGTTATGAATTTTACGTATTTAGTCTTTAAAATGGTTGTCACTCTATTAACTAAGCATAGACATGCCAATGGTTTTGCACACCATCCTCTACCCACACAGCTCAGCAACCTGTACTGGGTTCTAGAAATAAAGTATGAAAAAGACTTAGTGGTCCCATCCCAGAATAGCACATGATCTCATGAAGAGATACACATAACCAGGGTTCAGTACACCAAAACCTTGATAAACATGGAATCAATGGGCTTCTTGGAGAATGTCTACTCTAGGTCTTCAGGGATGAGCCTGAGTTAGCCAAGTGAAGGTGACAGAGGATGTGCATTCCAGGCAGAGGGAGTAATATGGGTAAAGCTGGAGGTGTGGGGCTGCCTTGTACAAGCAGGGAAACAAAGCATTCAGCTTGAGGTAGGAAATACCAAGATGGAAAGGTAGGCACAAGCTTTATCCTATATGGCATGTTAACTTGTGATTGTATGTGTAAGAAGGAACCAATGAAAGGCTGCCAGCAAGGAAGAGTCTGGTTAAGTTTCCATTTTAGATGGCTCACCTAGGTCGATTTCCATGTGAGAAGTGAGCAGGTGCCAGAGAGCCAAAGGGGCATGTTAGCAAGGAGGACAGCACTTCATAAGGGAAGGCTGCCTCTTGAACCCTTTTGTAAGTTCTGTAATTAGATGACAGGAAATGAATAATTTACTTAACAGATAAAGGGACCATGTTATGTTATGAAAAGTCACTAATCAAAGATGTCAACAGAAAAAAAAAATCTGAATGTTTTAAGGACACAGGGGGAACTCAAGGTTGGATTAAGGGTAGGAATGACAGAAGAGAGCCAAATTGCGTTCAAGGAAGAAACCCTAAGGATGTTCCTTGAAAGAGAAGAATCAAGAAGACAGAGGAAGCATTTAGTAAAGGAAAAGAGGACACCATGGAAGAATACAAACTTCTTCACAACTTGGTACCAGTCACCCAAATTACCTTTAGCCAAGTCAGTGTAAAAGGTGCAAATACGGCCCAGGGCCCTGCTGAATCTTGACTGAAATATGTGTGTATAGACACATGTATTATTGATATTTTATTATTTTATAGATAACTCATTCTCAGTGGTAGTATAAACCAAGCCTTAGGGAACATCTCAGGTTAGATTTTTGAGGTCCTAGTTGACTTAGATTGGAAGGAAGGGCTACTGTAGTCTTAGATGTCATAGTTACCAGTCAGTCAGCACATGGAAAATGAAGAAAAGGTATTGCTAGGTTTCAATTATGTGTTTGTTTTTTTCTGTTACTTACATATCTCACTGAAATATGCCAACAAACTTCCACTGCAATTTAAAAAATCTGTTAACCTCATCCTTATGTATGTCCCCCCTTCCACCACTGCATCAAATAACTGACACTAAAAAAGTAAAAATAATCACTTAACCCACTCAACGGTTTCTTACATCAGATTTTATTGCACTCTGAAATACAAGCTACATTTTTACAAAATAGAAATTCTTTTTGAGAGTGGATTGACTTAATTTCTGCATAAGCTAAATATGTTGATTTGTTTTATAAACATGTATTTTATAGAAATGGTCACAATTTTTTAAGTTAACTGATTTATTGAGGGGGTAGAACTGACAAATCTACATGCATAGGTAGTCCTAATAGCATCTCTCAAACGGTGTAAATCTGAGAGTCAGTAATACAAACTTTAGCAAAATCATTTTACAGGCAGAGTGTTTTGGTGTTTATAAAAGCTAGCTGAACTCCTTTAAAAAGGCTTTTGTACATATATGCATGCTCATAATTCTATTAACATATGCATATATAGGTATGCTTCATTTTTAAAAAGTTCAATACAAATCAAATTTATAAATCAGATTCAGTTAGTGTTGATTGAATAAAGGACTCACCATAGGTTTTATTTAAACTGCTTACATTCAAAAGTATTCAATTTACATATACAAAGGTACTTCCTGTGTAAGGTAAGTACATCTATAAATACATTTATGCATGTATTATCTAAATGTAGCAAACAGTTGAGGCTATTTCTAAAGTGTTTGGCTTAGTGAACCTTTTCCACATCTTAATAATTTTTAAATCAAATATACAGGAGTCAGTCTTTACTAGGGTATATGCAATCACCAAAGAGTGATAAAAATCAGTAATGGGACTGGCAATAGTCATCCCACTAAGCTAAAGTCAGTCACTAGTTATAATAAAACACCACATTATTAAAAACCATTTGTTTTAATAAGCTTATCCCACTAAATTCCCTTCATGAATTTAGTAATTTACAGATGTTATATGTCATATGTTCTCACCTTTGCACTTACTCCTTTGCAAAAATTCTCTTCACAGTAAATTCCTATAATTGAATCAGAGCCCTAGAAATTAAATCCCTTTTCTATTTTCTGTACATGGCCACAAAAATTCTAATAGCAACAAGATAGTTTGGAAGAAATGCCTCAATATACTTTTTCACTAGCATTGTATTCACAAATTGACTTGCCATTACTTTCTTTTTTTTTTTTTTTTTTTGAGACAGAGTCTCGCTTTCTTGCCCAGGCTAGAGTGAGTGCCATGGCGTCATCCTAGCTCACAGCAACCTCAAATCCCTGGTCAAGCGATCCTCCTGCCTCAGCCTCCCGAGTAGCTGGGACTACAGGCATGAGCCACCATGCCCGGCTGATTTTTTATATTATACATATTAGTTGGCCAATTAATTTCTTTCTATTTTTATGGTAGAGACGGGGTCTCGCTCAGGCTGGTTTTGAACTCCTGACCTTGAGCAATCCGCCCGCCTCGGCCTCCCAGAGTGGTAGGATTACAGACGTGAGCCACCGTGCCCGGCCACTTTCTTTTAATTGTAGCTAAGAAAAAAAACTTGTGGTTTCCTGTCTTTCAGCATTTCAAGGTATGAATTAATTAATTGCTAAGAATTTTCTTTTCAGTTGCCTATATTTCAATAGCCCAAACAATTATCTTTCTTTTTATAGTGAATTTGCCTTACACCAATATAGTCCAAGTCCTGTAATGAACTAGTCAAAACATGAACTTTATCTTAGCAGAACATAACTAACGCTGTTAAAGGCAAGTGGTTTCTTTTAAATTGAATCCATATTCATGTCAGTTACTTACTGAGGTAACTCTAAAATGAAGTAGTTAAAAAGATCTAACACATCTAACTCTGCCTACTCAACCAGTACCATAACTTTTAATATTCACTTAGCACCTATATGTGTAATGAAAAAAGGCATCATCTGAGAATATTCCAGTTGCTAAGGAAGAAATAGTGCCTCATTATGAATCAGTACTATGCCATAGCTTTATGAATATTGGGTATTTTATCTAGTATCCTCTGCTTAATCCTAGCAGTATCTTAGCAGTGGTAAATTAGTGTCTTGCCCAAATAGTTATTCTCAATTTGCTTCACTTTGACTGAAACAGATTTTCTTACATCACAGGCAGTGCCACAGTTACATGGACTCTTAAGACTTAATCAAAATGACCCCCAAGGTTCCAACAAGGAGGAACTAGTCATTGAGTATCTCTCCTCTGCCTTTTTATTTCTATGTTAAGAGGGAAACAAACACTTCAGAGAAGTAAGTCCCCAAGATGCTTTTTACTCTTTCCTAAAATTTATTGGAAATAAGGCATTAAGAAGTGATTACTGCTTACCTCACTTATTTATTTATTTTTTTTTTGAGACATTCTCTCACTTTGTCACGCTGGGTAGAGTGCAGTGGCATCAACATAGCTCACTGCAACCTCTAACTCCTGGGCACAAGTGATCCTCCTGCCTCAGCCTCCTAAGTAGCTGGAACTACAGGTGCATGCCATCATGCTCAGCTAATTTTAGTAGAGACAGGGTCTTACTCTTGCTCAGGCTGGTCTCGAACTCCCGAGCTCAAGCAATCCTCTCTCCTTGGCCTCCCAGAGTGCTAGGATTATAGGCGTGAGCCACCACGCCTGGCCACTTCTTTATTCTTTACTCTTTGGAATCACTGTGTTCTAAGAGCAATCCCCT